AGAATATGGCCAGTAAGTTTATGAGTAAATACTAAAGTTATAACATGTCCGGGTAAGCTAAATACTAAATAAGAAATTTCGTAGTCTAAAATACAAAAAAATTGAAAGACTTTTTTCAGCAAATTGGCAAACTCCCTAGCAATTTTCAAAGACGAAAATTGCGTCATTGACCAGCGTAATCAATTATGGATTAACTCACATTATCTGTTTAAGGTAAATTTTTGTTCTACTATTATTGAAAGGGAAGCTTAGTCCCCCTTGTTCGCTTCCGATCGATATTTGCTATATATGTAGCGAATCGAGTATAGTTAAAATATCAAATTGGCAAACTTTTTTCCCTTTTTTGTGCATTTAATACTCAAAGGCTTTTCATACATTAATATAAAATTAAAGACAGCTGCAGAGCTCCTGTACATACAAGCGCGATGATCTGGGAAATGTCACGTCCTTGAGATGTCAAGAGGGAAGTTAAAATTAAAAGCAAACGACGTTTTTGTCAACACGTACGTCGGATTGCCGATGGGGACTGGAAAAACCGTGTTTGTTTCAGCAGAAGCCGCGGAAGTATTACGAAAGTGGAGGGGTATTGGCCAAAAAGGGCACTTTTGAATATGACCAAATCAAACGATTTTATGTCGTTTACGAGCAGAACGAAAATTTTTGAAACTATTGAATCTCTATAACGTCGGAAATAACCTTTGCAGAGAGTTCCTACTACAAAAAGGGCACTTTCTTTCCAGCAAAAATTGCGTTCATTCAAGAAATACTTTTTTCGTTCCGCATCAAATGGGGCAGTTTAGCCCAGAAAAAGGGCACGTTTTAACTTTTACAAAAAGTGGGGAGGGACACATGCCTCGATTGCCCCCCCCCCGTTCCGCGGCCCTTGTGTCTCAGTTTGTGGTAATCGAAGTCAAAATTAGTTATATCAATTTTCGAGTGACATCCGTATTGACAAAAAAATCGATTCTAATGCCGTCCTAACTCCTGAACACAACACGACGACATCCTAGATTAACCGGAAGTGAAAATTCCACATGTCACGCCATTTTCACGTGATCGTCGACGCCGCATTGTGTTTGCTATTAAAGCTGTGAGCTCTAATATTATAACCTTGCTTTCTGTTTTATCATTTCTTGAAAAAAATACTTACCAGCTTTAATTATCAACCTAACCTACCGAATACAACAAGATGTGGGATTGTTCTACGCTTGCAATCAGGAACGCCGGAACTGGGGGGCAGGAAGGTCAGCTGCCCCTCTTGCCTTTTGCTAGGGGGGCAAGGGGGGGGGGGGCAGAAGTGCCGTTTTAGTTGTAAAATACTATCTGATAAATCACATTTCCAGTGATGCTTTTTCGGGCAAAATCATGAGATTCAGGTAATTTATAGGCCCAGAGAAAGTTAATTTACAAAAATAAGTGTGAATTTGGAAAAGAATGAGTTTAATTTACAAAAATTTTAGAAAATTTTTGGGTTTTAGAAAACTTTTTGGGATAAATCGAGAAAATTGCTGATGTCCGGAAAATTTTTTTACTTTATGAAAAATTTTGGTATGGGGAGAAGTCGCCGAAAACAAATTTCATGTAAAAAAAAAATTATCAGGTAAATTTCGAACTTTCGATCTATAAAGCTGCTCTTTGGTGTCCGTCTGCCCCCCTTTGCCTTTTTATCGTTCCGGTCTCCCTGATTGCAATCTATGACATCTATGTTTTGACTTTATTAATTTAATCCTGAAACAATTTGATTAAAATAAAGATAAAAATCGGAATGCGAAATAGGGGCTCAGTGTATGCTAAATATTGAATAAAGATTTTTGAAGCATATACTATATGGAATATCATCGATTGTTTACATTTCGGCGCTATTCAATGCTGTTCCCTCGCAGCCGCTCTTTGAGTGTATTCGATGCCGGCTCGTACGGGCTCTGTGGTACAGACGATTGCTCTGATCATAAACAATCCAGAAGCCATATATGTCTCCTGGATTTTCTATGCTGTGATGAATGAGGGCATACGGAATATTGCTGTTTTGTTAAAAAACTTGGTTATACGCAAAACTTAAAAGTTCCGTTTCCACCCCCAAGTACTGAAGTACCTACGCAAGTGAGCACGTTTTATGATTGTTTTTCTGGAACAAATGTGATCGGTGTTTATGATTCGTTCTTTAGCAATATAATTTCTATAGTTTATATTTATCTTTTATAGTCATAATTGTTGTAGTAGGTCCGACCTGGCCCCTTGGAAGCGTTTGAGCTTTTCAGATTTGCTTGAACTTTTCGAGCCGAATTCCAAATCAAGTTCCTCAATGAAAAACTGATTGACGCAGCGCTGCATTAAAAAGAAGACACTCTTTGACGACAGTTAATACCAAATGATTGATTTAGAACGGCTATAGAAAACGAGAGAGACGCCTGCGTTTATGATGTGACAATTGGCACGAGGAGAATGTTAGGAGAATACGACAGGTACGAGGCGTAGCCGTTCCCCGAGTTCAAAGTCTTTCTTGCATTCTGAAAAATTTTGTATTTTAAAGACTTTCTAGTTTTGTTTACTAATATACTTTTGGCTAAAAATAATTTCTGTAATTTCCAAGCCATGTCACAAAATGATAGGCATCCACAGGAATTAGTTTCTTTTGGTTCTGCAGTGTGTCAACGTCAGTCAACGTACGGGGTTTCGAAATGTCAAACACAATTTCAAGTACGGCAGTCTAGCCCTTCTGAAGGCGGGTCGGGCCCGTCACGTATTCACAGAATTCGGTCATGTCGCATATATCAAGCGTGGGAAGGCGAAAGAGTGGAAAAAGGATAAAATCAAAATATTATTGGTTAATATTGGGACTTTACAGTGTTAGAGGATATTTGCGGAAGTAGTTTGGTCTTTTTAGTTTTAACGTCTCATTATATTTTCACGTTGCTTCCTTTGTGTACTCAAGTGACTTATAAATGCAGCATTCCTGTCTCATACCGCTGACAGTGAAAGGGAAACGTCTTTATTATTTGATATTCATAATTCGTAATAACAGCTCGCCTACGCTCACTGTGAACGTTGTTCGATGAAACGAAAGTCTTCGCTAAAGTACTGAAAATTCAGAAGACCTATTAAAGTATCGAACTAAAAGCAAGTGTTTTCTAGTCAGCTGATAACAGACACGATGAGGAAAGAAAGCCTGGCATGGGTATATACGGCATGGCTTATCATAATATCGTTTGCTATAAATGATGTCAAATCAGGTAAGATTGAAACAGACTTAGTATACTAATACTCTTAACTAATATCACGTTTTACTCGGCCAGCGAACGACCGCTTTCTTGCCGAAACACTGTGACGGTTACTCATATCATAAACAAGGCCATATTATATGCTCACATTCGAATTTCATTCCATGATAATTTCGAAATGCCTGCGAGGATTCAATCGTGACGAGGACGAATCGCTGGTGATTGATTTAAAATAAGCATTGGTGATGCTTATTTCTTGCTTCTGAACACTGTAAATAATCTAACTTTCGTACGTGATAATGTTTTGATCAGGTGCGAACAATTATTAAGTACTGAAATTTGAGCTGAATGTTTTCAAATTGCACAAACACTTCCGTGTTGTACTTCACAAAACATATATTACTTTGTTAATTTGTTGATAATTTCAGTTAAAATAGGTATTCATTCTATTGTATATTTAAGAAATTCGGGCTACTAATGCGGACCTATAATTATTAATTTGGCCGTTTCGGTCTGTTCTTATTAACAGTTCGCGACAATTACATTTTAATGCATTCTAATTCGCTACAATCACTTTCAGAAGTTGTTGGGACACATGTAGTTTTAGCTTGTAAGTGGATAATTATAGTTTTTTTACACACAATACCGCCCCCCTCCCCCTCCCCCCACCCCAATCAATGTTGTTTAAACCAAAACACATCAAACCCGACGAGAAATGGGACACAACATTGAACAGGGGGCGGGGGGATTGTCGTTTGTTGAAATTCAAAGGTTTTGTGGCATCTGTCCCAAGACTTTTGAAACTGATTGTCTGAAAGGCAATGAAAAGCATATTTAACCTCTTTGAATTACCGAGTGTTTTAGAATATCAGTTTTGCGAAAATCGTATAGCATTTAGTATAACATATTTACTGAATTGCACTGGCATATATAATGCTTTTATACTGTGCTTGTTGTGGTCAATATATTTGAAATGTAACATAATCCAACAGACTGAACAGTATATTATAAATGAGCTTATAAACAGATGTGATATGTGGGGAGGGACGTATGCTGAGAGATTAAACCTGCTCTATATGCAAGGGATAGAACACATCTATCTGGTTAATTATCGACCTAGGTTATGGCTGAATAAAATGCAAGGGTAAGTTATCGAAAACCACTTAAAGATTGTGCATATTTGACATGAAAATATGTATGTAATATAAAACGGCTTGAACACGTGCTCGATTGTCACTCGGTTGTCACTTTGAAACACATAGCACTTTCATTGATATAACTTTCAATTGTCGCGGGATAATAATTTTCAGAATATTAAGTACTAAGCAAAAGTGTTTAGGTAGCACGTATTGATATATTACGGTTTCTACTTAATCACAAAGTATATAAATTGTATAAAATGTATCGATTGACACTCAACTCTAGAAATATCACTATGATATATCAGATTTATTCATGTAAAAAAGTGTCAATCGATCCAAAATTTGGCTTAATCAATTTCAAACCCTTTCATTAACAGCAAATACATTGTTAGACATTCTCAACAAATTATTCTTAGCCTTGTTCTGATTTAAAAGCTGCCTAGTTGCCCATTATTTCATATTTCTATAGTGACAATCGAAGTGACAACCGATGTTAGTTTCATTGCATTCGTCTGGACCGGAAACGCTTATTAGCATAATTAGCGTATAACACTAACTTTGTGTTGTATAATGCGTACAACGCCGTACTGACAGCGAGTCCCTTTCGTTACATATTTTTGGAAGCCTGTGCAACTTTGTTGCTTCGGCGGGTCGCGCGCGCTAGTACATGCTAACGCGTCAGCATCAGGGAGGTCTATAAGCCCTGGAGAAATCACGAAGTCCGGGTCATTTTTTACCACGTACGAATACGCTGAATAGTAATTTTTTGGGATTGTCTGACTGAGTTCAATTAAATGCCGAATTTACTCTTCTCGAGCTTCCTGATAGCTCGCCAACTTGATCTTGCGGACAATTTTTTAGCCATGTGGAAGTGACTATATATACTATATGATACCGCCCTTTCCATTAGCCTCCGAAATTCCCACCCACTGAGTGCTCCTTCGTACCCATGCGTCGACAATTATATCTGCAAATTCTGCTCTAGAAAGATGTGAAATGTCACATTCACTATTGGTGATAAAAATCAAACGTTCTTTACCTTCGGAGAACCCGAATTAGCAGTTGACTCAGCCCTTACCCACATGCGAAAGTAACCGGATGTTATATTACTATGCTATAAATTAACAGTATGTGTGACATATCTAGCGTATAACATTTGCGATACCTATCTTTATTGACAGACTATAACCTCTCAAATAACCTACTTGTGCTCTGCCGAAATTTGTAGAAACAAACAACGTATAAAACCTTTGTGATTAAGAATGCAATATGACATAACAAATTATATTCATATTCTGTTAATTATTAACTTTGAGAATTTTAATGAAACTTAATTGTTCTATAATGTCATTAGATATTCTGTGAACGAAATGGAGCTGAAATACTTCGTTCGCAGAGCATTCTATTCCCTGTACTTTTGAGATGCACAATGATGTTATGGCATATGGGGCCCAGACAATCACTTTCAGAAGTTGTTGGGACACATGTAGTTTTAGCTTGTAAGTGGATAATTATAGTTTTTTTTACACACAATACCGCTCCCCTCCCCCTCCCCCCACCCCAATCAATGTTGTTTAAACCAAAACACATCAAACCCGACGAGAAATGGGACACAACATTGAACAGGGGGCGGGGGGATTGTCGTTTGTTGAAATTCAAAGGTTTTGTGGCAACTGTCCCAAGACTTTTGAAACTGATTGTAGTCACCCTCTCTGCTTGAGTTGGCTCGAAGGTTAAATCATTGTTGAGCCAACGTGACCAGACGTGGTGGCAACCGGTGGCAATTTATTGGGAAAAATTATATCTAGTTTAGATATATTTTTCCATTTATTTCGTAAATTTCCAAAGATAAGAATATTGTGATCATCAACTGACAATTTTTGGATCGTTTGGTATCTTCCAGTGGTTATAATATCAGGTTATATATTTGACCGCCTGATATACGAAGAGTCTCATAATTTGTAGACATCGCATTCTTCTGATTGCTTATTTAAATATCAACATAATCAATTGTTACAGTGCTTTGCCTTGGTCCTTGGTATTGCTTCATAATATACAAGTTATTTATTCCCGAAATATACTGTGTTCTCGCAATTATTTTCAATATTTTGTGTCTTGACCGTTGGGATTTGTTTTGACAGTACTAACGCTTCGTAGCAACAGTAAATTTGAATTTTGCGCGTGACTTCGTGGCTTTATAACTTTTATTATTTCAAGTTCTGGAACAGTAAACAATTAAAGGACTTTATTTGATTGTGGTGGCTTACAAGTTAATCAACTCTGCTGATGTTAAACTGTTTGCCATCTATCGGCCAATCTATACTATTGATTCATTTTTCTTTCATTGGCGTGGTTTTCTCTGACATTGCAGCGAAATATAATCTCAAGTATTTTCCGTATTAATTACAAATTCCCTCAAGTGTCCATCGCACTTATCGACCGCCGTCTGCTAAATAATCTAATCAACAGAACATTTAAATCGTACTTTCTCCATCATGATGTTGATAGATTTGATGAAGTTTTGCTGTAGAAACCTTTACCTCTGGTTATTTCTCTATATCTATATTACCTTATGTGGTCTTTATGTCCCAAAGAATTGCTATGTCCCAAAGAATTGTTCTAACTTTGTACAACAACATGCTATTTTCTACATATTCAAGGAAATCGCAACAACCCATATCATGAGTCTAGTTAAATACGGTTGTCGACGAAAAAGGGAAATACGAAGATCATTACCGAATTCATCAAAGGTTTTCTTTGGGTGCCGTTCACTGCTGTACGCAATTCTCGCAGTTCTAGTTATTTCTATGTCTGGTGATGTAGAATCTAACCCTGGGCCTGCGTCGATTACTAATAGTCATCAAGCAAGTGGTTTTCTTCAATCTCGGGGTCTTAAAGTTGCACACCTCAATATCAGAAGTATCTACAATAAAATAGATTCATTAAAGCTTCTACTTAATTAATGAAAAACCTTTTGATATTTTACGATCTCTGAAACCTGGCTAAACTCTGATATAACGGATGGTGAAATCTCTATTTCTGGCTATACGTTTTCCAGAAATGATCGGAATGGAAGATCTGGTGGTGGAACGTTGGCATTTGTGAGAGATGGCATCCCCTACAAAATACGGACAGACCTTCTGAGTAGCAATATCGAATCCACTGTTATTGAAATTACTCGTCCAAAATGCAAAAGCCTTTTTGTATTCACAATCTATAAAACCCTTGATCAATTGTTAGAGTCACTTACTGAAGAACTTGATACTGCATTGTCATCTATTTCGTTAGAAGCTGAAGTAATACTACTTGATGACTTTAATGTGAACTTTTTAGCAACAAAAAATGATACTTCCCGAGCTCTTAAGCGAAAACTTCGAAGCTTTATCAGCATGTACAATCTTGAACAACTTATTGATAAACCAACGAGAATAACTGAGAACTCAAGTACATTGATTGATCTCCTATTCGCTAACAATAATCATCGAATAGTTTCCTCCGGAGTCCTACACGTAAACTTAAGTGACCATTCTCTTATCTACTTTGTTGTTAAAGCGGGTGTACGTAGGGCACCAGGAAGAGTCATAGAATACAGATCCTACAAGACTTATTCAAAGCCATCTTTCCTCGCCGATTTTGTGCACGTTAATTTTGACGTTATTGACTAAGAACGAGACATTAATGTCGCTGTATGAAAATGGAATGAACTGTTCACAAATGTTGCCAATCTTCATGCTCCAATTAAGAAATTGAGAACAAAAGGAATCCAAACCCCATGGCTTACTACTTATTTAAGCAACGCAATGCAAGATCGCGACTACCACCATCGCAAAGCCGTTAAATCAAATTCGCCCTTTCATTGGATGATGTACAAGAAGATTAAATCTTATGTCAATATAAATGTTAAGAAATGCAAAGCTGAATACTACCCGAACCTGATCAATACGAATAAAGGAAACACTAGTGCTTTATGGAAAACGTTAAATGACATGTCGTCCCGAAAATCTCACTGCTCGCCATCTTGTATTGAAGCTAACGGCGTCTCTCATAACGACCCAAAGTCTATAGCTGAGTCATTAAACGACCATTTCTCAAGCATAGGATCGAAATTGGCACCTAAGATAAGAAATTTGTATCCAAATCGGATTTCTATCAAGCAACCTAGTTAGTTTAGGGAAAATGAATTTGTTTTCCAGCCAATTGAAGAAAGTTATGTGTATGGTGCTCTGAACAATCTTAAAACCAACAAAGCTGCAGGACTCGACAAAATCAGCGCTAGGTTACTTAAAGATTCTTCCAGTGTTGTAACTCCCACCCTAACCAAACTTTTCAATCGTTCACTCACTTCCTCAACATTTACATCAACCTGGAGGTCTGGCAATTAAAGTAACAGCGCTTTTTAAATCTGGAGACCAATCCAATGCTAGCAATTACAGACCAATCACGATACTCCCAACAATCAGTAAAGTTCTCGAGAAAGCAGTTCACTCTCAAGTTTACCGCTACCTTATTGACAATAAAATACTAACACCACGACAGTTTGGTTTCAGACCTAAACTTTCCACTGAGATTGCGCTCGCACATTTCACGGACACAATTTTGGCTAACATGGACAAAGCTTTAGTAACCGGAGCTGTTTTTCTTGACCTGGCTAAAGCCTTTGATACTGTCGACCATTCTCTTTTATTTGAAAAGCTTGCCTCATCTGGTCTCTCCAATGATTCTGTCAACTGGTTCAAGTCATACCTAAGCAATAGAAATCAACTTACCGCCCTGGCTAACACTGTTTCCTCCTTCAACCACGTTCCTGTCGGAGTTCCTCAAGGTAGTGTTTTGGGTCCACTACTATTTCTTATTTTTGTTAATGATTTGCCTTATTGTATCAACCATTGTGAAATTTCCTTATACGCTGACGACACTGTGATATATTTTTCTTCAAACAATGCTTGCGATCTTGAAATTAAATTAAATTCCGATCTAAAATACATTTGCAGATGGTTTAACGACAATCTTCTGACCCTTAATGTCTCCAAGTGTAAATTTGTAATTTACGGAAGTTCTCGCAAAGTTGCAAAATTTGACAACGTTTCCATAACGGTTAGTAGATGCAGAACGCCGCTTCTGGCTCAGTAGGCTAATACTTCATGTTATACAAATTATGGTGGATTTACACATCCCCTCCCTCACCCCCGGTGACGTCACTTCCGGTTTACCACTATGACGTCACTTCCGGGTTATTGGATCACGTGACCACCACGCCCTCCACGCCTCCCGCCAGCCCCTGCCGCCCCCACGATTGGGGTAGTCTCGCAGAAGTCTTGCCTAAGTCTTCCCTAAGCCGACCCTAAGTCTTCCATAAGTCTTCCCCAAGTCTTCCCTAAGTCTTCCCTAAGCCTCCCCTAAGTCTACCCAAAGCGTACCCAAAGCCTCCCCTAACCCCACCCAAAACCTACCCAAAAACCCCACCACGCATGCGCACCCCCGTGTTGGGAAGTCTTCGATAAGTCTTCCATTACGTATATTTTTGGATCACGTGACCTATGACGTCACTTCCGGTTGAATAATCATTCCTAAAAAAATTTTTGAAAAAAATTTCTATATAATAAAAAGGATAGCATTTACCCCAGTGTTTTGGAGATGTTGGACTTGGACTTGGACTTGAAGCCCTCATGTTTGCATTGTTGTTCCAACCGTTATGGGTCTGGAAAACTGAACTGACTTCTGAGTCGTACCGGAGGTAAGAAAATAACTTTTTTAAAAAAGTTTTCTATATAATAAAAAGGATGTCCATTACCAAAGTCTCAGACTTCTCCAAAGAATCGTTCGCTTTCGAAGATGCCGTCGGAAACAGTTACGGGTCCGAAAAGGTTAAATTACGGCACGAAATCAGGGTCCACTTCTACTGAAACTTGAGGACTGTTTGTCCTATGGGGTGAGCAAGAACAACAAGTTCGGTAAGGACAATTACTCCATCTCCTTAGCCCTGAGGGATAAGAAGGAGTTTGTGTCAGCCCTGGAACTGGTGGAAAAGGAGTGCGCGGATCACGTTGGTAATTCGGGTGAAAACATCATGAAATTTCTTTACCGGAAGGGTAGCGCTCCAACCCTATACGTAAAGATCGACAACGAAACGGAAATTTACCCTCCGAAAGGGGACGAACCCGTCGACCACAAGAAATATCAGGACAAGAGGTTCCGCATCGATGCCATCGTCAAAATCGAGAGGATCTATGTGTCCAGAAGTGTAACCTCCATCCCAGTGAAGCTGTACGAGGCAAACATACTGGAGGAAAAGCCCAAAGCACTCAGGAAGAGGCTTCTACAACGACGGGATTAATCGGATACGGAGATTCTAACAGAAAATCAATTTTAATGTTTGTAAGAACATTAAAATTTAAAGAGCATCGATACCACTGACGGGTAAGCTGTTCTCGTACTCAACAGGTATAACCGATCGGTCTTTCGACCGTATCCTAAACAGATTCCCCATACCATAAGAGCAAGCACGTAAGGACGGTACGGAAAACACCCACGATTCTGCGGAATCGTCGGGTCGTCCCAAATTAATACCGAACTCAGGACCGTCTAGCGTGAAGTTGTCTATTTCTCCAAGCGCCAAATCCTCCGGTACTGTGAGGAAAACGACGACACCTATCGGCGGACCGGAAGATGATTACAGCACCGCCTTCTCCCACGAGCCAGAATCTAATATCTACCTCCCTATTAGTTCTTTCGTCCCTTAATTTAAGGTTATTACCAGCATCCCCAAAGTCCGTATCATCACACATTTCTGAAATGAACTCCGTCATTTCTTAGGAACATTCGAAGTACAATTGGACTTTCCTGTAGGTACCCATTGTCTTTTATTGTATAGAAAAAATTTTTTTTTTTAAACTGTTGACTCAGCATTTTTTTATTCCTCCTTTTCCTGGCAACCTGCTTTTGTACTGATCACGTGTTTTTCGACGGTGATTCCACCACTTAGTATTCCAGTGAGTGAGATGTATGGTGTTACGTAACCGACGAGGTTTTTAATGTCTTTTCTGAGCAGATCGTTTTCCTCGAGTTCTTTTTTCATTCCTTCGGCATCCTTAACAGCGTCCAGCGCTTCCATGAGTTCGGAGAACTTGGTGATGATAACATCGGCTAGTTGGCTGTTTGTGTTCTCCAGACGTTGTCTTTTGTAGTCTTTGTATATATTTTCCAACGTTCTTTCGGATGCTTTTTTGATATATTTTGAGGTGTACTTAATTTCACCTGCATCGACCAGCTTTAGTACCTTTTCCCTCAGATCGCTTGCGACGGGTGTCTCAGGCTCTACAGATTCGAATATGGTTTCCATTCCTTTATTTAATATGCGGAATAATTGTTTCGTGGGTATAGGGTCGGCGTAATAGTATTTCCAACCTGGTGTAGTCGTTGTTTTTTAGCGTATTAATGATTTCCTTCCTTTCTTCTTTTTCCGTGTTTGCAAGGTAGTCGTTCAATATGATGTCCGTATCATTTGCGCTCGGCTTGTAAAACGTTACGAGCTTGGATATATTTTCCCTATAGGGTTTCGCAATGGATGTGAGTTGTTGGGTAATGACAATGGTTGATATTCCCATATGCCTAGCGCTAAACCCGAGTTTTACCAATTCGCTGGTCCTGTTTTTGACGTATTGGCTACTAGCACAGTCATCAAGAACGATAAGGCTATTTGTTCCTCTTGCAAAATGCGAAACGTATTCTAAACACTGGTTTACATCATCCTGCTTGCAGGACATGGCTATGAAGTCTTTATCCGTATTGTATTTCCAGTCCTGGTACGTTTTGTTCCACTCTTATGTGGGACATATTAGAAATATGTACTCGAAGTGGTTTTTATAGTCGTTCTCCAACATTTCCAGTAGGTAGTAGGTTTTCCCACATCCGGTCATTCCGAGAATGGTCATGTTGAATGGTGTTTTCAGCGGTTCCATCCTTTATTTAATAACTAATACCCTGAAGGGCCTTTTCGCTGATGTTTATGAGTCCATCGGATAGCACAAAGATGTTACAGAGGATGTCTTCGGAAATCCCGTCGGTTTCGATCTCCAGAAGAATTCCAGGATTGTCGCCAAGGATCTTTTTTCCACTTCCAACAATAAGACTGTCATCAACGGCTCTCAGATTGATCACCAGTGCGAATTTATCTTTGTAGAATTTCCTGACGCTTATGTCGTCGTTACAGGCGTTGTTAGCCATTCCGAACAGTCTTTTTGCTTCGTCGTAGAAATTCTCGTATGTTAGTCCCTGACTATATACAGCATTCGGTTTCCCCTCTATCGTGACCTTTACCTTTTCGATACTTGGGAAGACGTATTCCTCGCTGTCGGTTATTGTTCTTTTTCTGAAAAGTAGAACTACTGCCATCATGCTTTCCATCGGAACGTCTATGCTCTCGTTAAACCTTGAAGCATCCTTTGCCCACACGGTTGTTTTCAACAGTGTTGTATGTTCGTAGGACAGGGACCTGCCGGTCTCGTATCCTTCGTTTACCTGATTGGCCAGTTCTTCGTTCTCTATGGTTTCGTATTCCAGGTGTATGTTCTTCAGTGTATCTCCTTTCACCTTCTCGTTTGCCTGTGCGACCATAATCTTGTCGGCTTTTGGAAGGGTTATCGTGTACTCGAATCCGCTCTTCATGTTGTACGGTGCGTAGGGACTTTGATCATTAAGAATTTTTCCGAGTTTCATCTTCTGCTCCTTGTATACCTTCGCCATCACCATGTCGTAGGCACCTTCCGTTTTTGCGTTTCGATCGGCGCTGTCGTCCTTCGACAGTAACTTTCTTGTGTTCTCGTTCATGATTCCGTATTCTACCATGTTCGCTCTTTTCGTACCCATCTTCCAGAGATCCTTGTAGACTTCGATGAGACTTTCACCGTTATTGTCGTATACTATTTCACCTCCCACCCTTATCATGAGCCGCTAGCATAGAAGTTTACCGAGGTTGTTCATGAAACAGGATTTGGTGTTTTCGTTCCTGAACTCGTACGACAGGCGAAATGAGTCCGGAACGAAACAGGTGTTCGGTTCTAGTTTTGGAACTGCGATCCGGATGTCATTTTCAGGGTTGGATTTGTTTGGGCTGAATGTAACGAAGTTACATACCCTGTTCCCTACAACGTTGGAGGTCAGTGCCCTTTTGAAACCGGGCGTAAGTTCTTGACTTCTCTTTTCCATTCCTTTTATTATACCGACTAATTATTAAATTTTTCGAACTTTGGTTTGGGTTCGTCCTGTACTTGTGGTTCTGTACGTTATGTGATCAGGCTTGTTCGTAGGTCTGACCCTACAGTATATGTAGTAGATTCCCCCTAGTGCAGCTGCTGTAACTCCAACGTAAATCAGCGTATTTACCGAATCACCTTGATCGGAACTATTTTTAATGCAACGTCTTTCTTCAGCCTTCCTTGCTTTTGCTTCCCTAGATATTGCTGCTAGTCTTTTACCCGATTCTACCCTTCTCGGATCCTTTGGTTTTTGGGTCTTTTCTGCTTTTGTTATTGTCGGTTCATCCATCCTTTATTTAATATACTTACTTTTTAGAATTTCTATTCAAATCTAGTCGGAGTTAGTTGCAGCATAACCTCAACTAGATTTCAGCATAACTTTAACTAGGTTTAGCATCTAGTCAAATTTTAGTCAAATTCTAGTCAAAGCTAGTTGTAGCATAACCTTAACTAGGTTTTAGCATAACTTTAACTAAGTTTAGCATCTAGTCAAAGTCTAGTCAAATGTTGCTTGACCTAGTTCCAGCATAACCTTAAATAATTTCAAGGTCATCTATTTAAAGAAATATTTTTTATATAATAAAAGATATGAGTTGTTCCATTTTACGACTGGAAGAGATAAGTTCTCTCGGAAAGCTGGAAGAGGCGTACCGTTCGCTGTCCAATGCGTTCGAAGAGGCGAAAAGGGGGGTACAACCAGACTTGAGCGGTCTACCTCTAAGGAAGGGGGGTCTATCTGACGCTTTTAAAGTGGCACAAGGTCTAGCACCGGGTAGTAGAAGTGAATTTTTGGAAAATATGATGAGGAGTATTACAAGCGTAGGAAGCGGGAGTTGATCATACAGACTTTTAAACAGCTGGAAAGTCATCCTGACTATAGGGAAACGGATTACGAGAAAAGGGAGCGTCTAAGGAAGAAGCGGATGACCACGAACGCAAAAGAAGGATGGAAATCTGTGAATTCGGAGGTGAACATCAGCTTATTGATATAAGCGGGGAAAGGACGTGTCACAAATGTGGATTAATTACGGGACCCACGCCTCCTGCCCGAACTACGGTTGTTGGGACAACGCAATCATGAGTCGTCGGAAATTGAGCATTAGTGATAGGTTCGAATCATTTTGTACCAGAAGGAAAATAACACATTCCGATCTATCAGAGCACGGAAGGCGTTTGATAGTAGGTGACATTTGTAAAGTTTGTGATGCAGAAAAGCCTAAAGGGAAGAGGCTTCCTAACCTCTGCATCCTGACCTATCAGATATGTAAAAGGTTAAACATAAAGATGGACGAGAAGCTGCTTAGCATTCCAGCAAGCAGACCTCCACACGATCGGTGTAGGGAAATATTCCGGACGTTGCGTTGGGAATACATTGAGTATGGTTGTCAGAGCAAGACAATCGCAAAAAGTCCTGGTAAAACAACCGCAAAAAGGACGGTTGTGAAGGACCCAAATATGTCCGACATCGACTTCAGATACGAAGGTTTCTGTAAGAGGATGGGAATAACATACCCCATGTTATCGGTAAAGGATAGGAATAGAATCATGGAAGACATCAAAAAGGTGTACGACGCGGAGGAACCAAAGGTGAAGTCGCTTCCCAACCTTAGTATTCTGACTTATCAGTTATGTAAAAAACTTGACATAACAATCGACAAGGAACTGCTTAGAATTCCGATAAGCAGGGTTCCACATAATCGGTGTAAAAAAGTATTCCGGACGTTGGGTTGGGAATACGTTGAATAATTTTAACGCTTTTTATCAGGCATTAAAATTGAAATAGTAATTTAAGGGCGATGTGACGAGAAGAATTTCAACCGTTATCGGGATGAGTAGACAGAACACCAGACTCATCCACGTTACTCTCCGAAGTATTTGAGTTTTCGTCATTTATTTTAACATACTTTTTTACCGTTGTGCTGACGTATCCAATTTGGGTGTGAGCGTTGATAGGGAGATCACCGCGTTCTATACCGATTCCAAAACTGAACATCTTTCTTTTCCGGTGGTTTTCGTCGTACTTCACTTCATATGCGGTTTCAGGTTTTGCGTGTAAACATCCCATTTTATTTACTCTTCTTTTTCTTTTCCGTTGACTTCGGTTTGTCTTCCTTTGAGGTCTTTGCCGACGGTCCTGCCTTGTTTTCCTTACACGACGTAACGTACTTTATGTTGGTTGTCTTGGATTTAACGTAACCAAGATTCAGCCCACCCCTATTGAGTTTTATATCAACGTTGACGGTTTTATCCTTTTTCAACTTTCCCTTAATCTTGCTGCTGTCGCTATTTATTCTTTTATTAATACGGAAAGAAAATCCATCTTGAAGCGATAACCCCACCAACAAACATAGTGCCGAGGAGGTCAACCAGATTGTTTGATGCTTTCGGTATGCTTGTTGTGTTAGGATGCGGTATGAGGTTCTGCTTCTCGCGTGGTATAGGGTTTTGGACCTTTACATCCGGACTCTCCTTTATCTCCTTAGGCTTTGAGTAGTTTACACTCGTATTACTACCAAACTTCATGACCTTTGTCGCTAGTGTTGGTGTGTTGTTGTATCCCGCTACTTTTTCCTTGAGTATGATCATATTGGATGGTACCAATATCAGTCCGGGTGATATTGCCATGTTAAGGACAACGTTAGTGTCCTTTATTGCCTTCCTCATATTGGAGATGGATACCGATACATCGTCTTGCGCAACGGTATCTTTGAAAAGTCTGTGAAATACGTCCTGAGTCTGCAGATACTCCGCCCCTTTACCAACGATAGACCAGCGTGTTTGTGCTTGCGCACCCAATACGCAATAGACATAACTTTCGACAGATTGTTGAAGTAGCTTTAATCCCAGAGGTGTCAACCCGTCCGATTTCTTAGCTATGTATTGGTGTAGTCCGTATCGCTGTTGTTAGTGACCCTGTCTACTTCCTGATAGCTAATACCCATCACACCACCGGTATTGTAGTACGAATACTTGTAGTTTCTAACCCTACTCTTATCCGGAAGTCTGCTATGCCAGAGACCTATTAACCCACGTTTTCTGTGTGGGCATGTTTCTCTGCAGGGATTTTAGCATATCCTTCGTTACGTATTTTGTCATCTTGCTCGGATTTCTGAGGAACCTGCGCATGTGGTAGTATAGGTGATACCTAACAATACTTGTGATTACCTTTGAGGTTCCCTTGCTTTCAAGCAAGTGTTCCGTACTCAAGCAGGTGTTCCGTACAGAAAGGCAGCTATCGTTGAAAGATTTAACAGAACCTTGAAGACAATGATGTGGAAGTATTTCTACAGCAAAGGAACTTACAACTGGGTCGACGTCATAGACGAGCTTACGAATAACTACAATCATACCAAACACAGCAGTATACTAATGAGACCTGCCGACGTAAGCAAGTCGAACAAGGACCAGGTATGGATCACTCTATACGGTCACGGGTTAGGGGAATTTCCATTACCTAAGTTTAGGGTTGATGATACGGAGTATAAAAATATCTTTACGAAGTATAAAAATATCTTTACCAAGGGATACGAAGCAAACTTTACGGAAGAGATATTCAAGGTTGTAAAAGTATTCAGGGGAGATCCTAACATGTACGAAATAGAAAGTTCTACGAAGAGGAACTATCCGCTGTGGACAAAAAGGACGATGTGTATAGGGTGGAGAAAATTCTGAGAAAAAGGAAGGATATGGTACTGGTCAAGTGGTTAGGATACGACAGTAAGCACAATTCCTGGATTCCAGAAGAAAATATTAAGGATATAAAATAAATGGCTGACATTGAACTAGAGGAAACAAACCGCGTCGACGACCGCGAAGCCAAAGAAGCTGGAACGGCGGAGGAAGAAACAAGTTTCACCGACGACAACGGGAGACAGGACGAACGTATATTAATTCCCGTCGGATTCAATCCGGACGTCGATGGATCGAGACTCAGCGGTTCCACACCAAATATCGGACGGGATGTTGGGGTAATGAAACGAGCCTATACGTTGGATAAAAAGGATTTCCTCAAAAGGGAACTAGGAGTAAATATCAATAAGGGCGACGGTCCATCTTCCGCCATCATCTTTGACAAAATGAAACTGACCGTAAATAAGGCCGGAACAAAAATTAGCGGTACTACATTCAAAGATGTCAAGATCATTATCTCGAAAAATGGTAAAATGATATACTCCGATCCGCGGATAATAAAAAGGAATCCGTTGTAAACGAATACAAAGAACTGATAAGGAAAGCTAAAATAGAACATTCAAAAACACCTGCAGCCTTAGTGGAGGAACAACTCGAACGACAAAACCTGGATGCTCCTCAGGAACTTGTGGATAATGTATTGGAAAATGCCGTTGAAAGGATGGATGACGAACTGTCCGTTCAAAGCGAAGTTATCGGTAATAATACAGTTATAACGGAAAACGAACTAAGGGAACTGAGAGGTATCCTGAACGTAAAAGAAAACTCGGGTAAGCAAAAAATTGAGTATCTTGAAATAGATGAAAATCACTGGAAAGAACTAGCTAGAACCGAACGAACTGCAGGACGTGAACAAAAGGCTCTCCTGTACGAAGCAATGGCAAACACGGCAGAATTGAAAGCGGATGAAATAAGGTTAAGATCAAACGAACGACCAAAAGGACCGAAAGCCATGTCCATCGTGGAAGAGGAAGTAGAAATAAACGATCTTACGAGGTTCGAAATATTTAAGAAATGGGCAAGGGAAAATATAGCCGAAATATCAGCCGTAGCGATATCTGTGGCTGGTATCATCACCACGATTATTATGGGGGTTAGAAGCGTAGCAAAAAAGTGAGCTAGAGCAACGAGCAAGTTCGCAAAAGCAATGGCAAACCTAGCCTGAAAGGTTGGACCCGTGCTAGCATCCGTACTGAACCTCGTCGCTAAGGTTCTGTCATGGGGAGCAAAGGGCATTGCGAGCCTGGCGAAGAATCTTTGGATTCTAGCCTTAGCAGAAACTTACTTCCTGTACAATGAATACAGAAAAAGGAAAAAATAAATAAGAACACATATAATAAAATATGGGAGATAGAAAGGACTTTATGAACGAAGCCTTCGACGCCGGTCTTATTACACTTGGCGCAGTCGCTGTGTTCGTGGTAAGCAAAAAATTTGTAGGTGACAATCTCGGAGTACCTAGTAGTCCGAAAGGAATTTTGAAACTAGCCGTAGCCCTTGGAGTCGGTGCGGTTGGAGTTCACTACTTACAATTCAAGAAACTAGTACCTGATGATCCATTCAAATAAACCATTATAATAAAAGAAGATGACAAGTGTTGTGGTCGGAGGACTATTCAACGCCGTAGCATTCGCAGGAGCCGGATACCTGTTCAGCAAACTGAACCACAGTGGATACGAAGGCAAAATGAAAAGACACAACAAAGCGCTGGAAAAATTAGCCTAGGCTAAGGAAAAATGGTACGAAAGTCAGGTGGAAAAAAAGAACAGAATTGCAATACTCAGACAGGAACTAGCCGACGCCAAATCGGATATGAAAACGACAAACCGTGCTCTTGACTCCCTGCGGAAAGCGCAGGAGGGATTAAGCCTGGATAGGGAACCGACGATTCACGATTACTACAAACCATCGAGCGAAATGGAAGAATACCAACAGATCACAATTGGAATATTAGGTCTAGGATCTGGATTCGTAATTACAAAATTACTGTAGACCCGTTAAAATTTTAATGTTCCCTTGAATATTAAAATTGGTTTCTACTGTCTTAGGCTTTTATGCCCGATTGCTAGCGTGTGGATTCCATCCTCCATAATTATCCTCTTGTCATAATTTGCAGACAGGGCTACCTTGACAACCCTTTCCGTATATATTTCGTGTGACCTACTTCTGAAGACATTCATTCCCCTCCATTGTTTCTCACCGCTGAAGAGACATTCCTTACAGTTTTTGAATGTTATTTCCTTCTTGATAACTACTTTCTTGACTCCCTTACACTTTTTTTTCCTCACTACCGTCTTCCACCATTTTGTAAGCATATAGCTTTGACCTTAATCCCACAAACTCTTCAATCTGTTTTGCACCCGTTTCCAGCTTCATCATTCCGATAACTTTTTTGTTTACACCCGTTTGGATTCCAGACGGGTGGTCCTTACCTAGATTGCTGGTGTCGAATCTTTCGAGGACATCGTCGGATATATACTTGAAGAAATCCTCGGTTTTAATTTCATAGCATAGGGAGTCCGTGTCCGTGAATAGAAGTCTGGCATCATCCCCATACTTCGGTTTAATGTAATTGTAGTGAAAATCGTACATGAGGGTCTTACTGATGTCAAGGATGCTCATCCCTAAGTATATAGGTTTATTCAGTTTTACGGATGTCTTCATCATATGAACTGCCACTAGGTTTTCGGAAAAGATGGTCGCAGCTTTGTAGTTATGCTTTTGAGCCAGCTTGTTCAACTTCTTCTCGTTATTAACAAGTCTTATGTCAACCCTATTCCTCACATTTTCCATCGTCTTTCCGGATACCGATTTGTTCATAAGCTTAAAGAAGTCCTTTTCAAAATACGTAGTACCTTTGGTACGCAGGTCCGTATTGAGTTGAATATATTTCTTCAGCCATGGCTCTTCGACGAATTTTACCCCCCGGTGTACCTCGGTTAACCTTAACCCTAGACTTAGGTACAGCTTTAGCGCCTCGTGGTGGACGACGTACTTTTCCTTATTGTTGAGGTTTGGAATGAGTTTTTTCACTTTGTTAACCATTATCCTTTCGGGTGCAAGGGGGTATGCGCTATGTTCATCATGTAGTTCGTCGGGGTATTCCAAATTCACTTTGAAGATACAGCCGTAGTCTGTCCACTTCTCCTGTTCCCCATCATTCATCCATTTGCAGTCCTTGACGGGTAGGGGTTGACCCATTGCCCACCCGTATAAATTGTTTGCGTCCATATAGGGGAGGTATGTAGACCGCTCTTCATCGTCGCGACTGATCACCAGTTCCGTACCGGTAATGACTGTAACAATCATGATGAGCATTGATATGATTACAACCGATAGATCGGAAAACTTTCTTCCCATCCACTTTTTGAACTTTTTCAACCAGGTTAGGTTCTTTGAAAGTTCAATATACTTATTATTTGCCTTAGCATACCTTTTAGTAATGGTGCTGATCCCACCCCGAATACCCTTTTCGATAAATAGGTACATATCCGGATCGGATATGAGGTCCAGCTCCACACCGGTTAACTTCAGCACAGCGTCCCATGCCAGTACGGGTGCTGTGTAGTACCACATCGGATCCAATCCGTAGTTGGTCTTACAAACCTTTCTACAGTTTTCCATCACTTCTGTCAGGAGGAGGACGTCCGTTATCAGGTACAGATCGTGATAGTTCCTCATGGTTTTCATGTTGAAGGTATTCCATACGTTCCAGGCTCTTTCATAATCCGTGTCGCTTATGCTTTCGTTGTTGAGCTTGCTGAAAAATTTCTCCTTCGGTGGAAGCGATGTTTCTTCAAGCCTCTCAAAACCATCCATATATTCATAAGGGTAAACACCCTTCTGCTTAAGCAACTCCCTCCATTCCTTAGTGCTACGACCCGTCATCAAATCCAAATTTTTGAAGTCGTCCTTACCCAAACCCTTGCCGAGCTTGTCCAGGGAGCTTGCCATAAACTTAAATGAGTCGAGAAACCTTACCTCTCTTTTAACCTTCTTCTCCTTTCCATCTTTTTTTGATAAACCTATCGACCTCTACCTCTTTAGTAAAGGAAATGTACTTCTCTTCCGTCTTAGGAATACACTTAATGTCACCACTACTTACCCCAAGGTTTATAATGAATAGATGGGAATGGTATCCTTCGAGGTTGTGAAAAAGTACCGGAATGAATTTGGGTCTTCTCATTTTTAAATTACACGTATTGTGTGCCGCACCCCTGTACGCTCCCGTATAGTGACAATGATCCCTAACCTTATGGTCTTCTGTAGTTAATTCCTTTCCGCATGCATAACAGACGGTCGCCCTTTCATAATTTTTGATATCTTTGAAAAACATCTTGATAGGTGCCTTGAATTTGAACCTGTTGTATATATCATGAACTTCCTCTTCCAACATATCCACAAACTTTTTGGTAACGTCTTACCCCTCGTACTGTTGGGTATAGTGTACCAACTTGGGTTTGTAAATGGAATTGTCAAAACACTTGACGTAGTAACAGAATCCGCTGGGGTTGTGCTTTTGGTAGTGGGTGGTACTCGATCTGTTGGGGTTCTGTCCGATGTAGCATTCGAAGTCTGCATAGATGACAAACGGAACGGTTTGTATTCTTTCATAATTTTTAAACTTCGTGGTGGTACCGGGTTCTGGATACTCATGCCTCTGGCAGTTGTTGTTCAAACATAACTCCAGATGTTTTTCCAGGAGTCCTATTGATCCGAATACGTTAAGGCAACGGTTGCAGATGTATTTTTTATGTCTGTGACCGTTAACCTGTTTGCCTACAAGTCTCGACATATCCTTCATAACACTATAGTGTTCCTTCCACAGGAAGAGGTTTATTTGATTGGTACTGTTGGATATTCGCAAGGGACATACCTTATGACATCCGTCAAGCTCAAACACGTTCACACCAATGTTATCGTTCTTTTCAAACTTTTTAATATTGTTTAGGGGTGTTGGGAACTCTATCCCTTCCCAGTCTAGCTTCTCAGCCTGCTTCCTAAGAATCCTTGTAATCCTTTCGGAGTTGTGTTCGACCGGGTTCAGTGCGCGGGTCACAGCCCACTTAAAACATTCCTCATCGTTGTTCTTCATGTTGATGATCGCTTTCTTTTTCCTGATTGTTGCGGATAATGGTACGTAACCCTTTCCCCTTAACGGTCGATATTCTCCGATATGAATTTCGAGCAGATCTACCCTCCGAAGCATGCAACCGCTACCACGCTTCTGCTATTCGGAAAAGGATTCTAACATTTTTTCCTTCATGGTATTAAAGGACTCTTCCGTGTTATCCGTACCGACGAGTTTGTGAGTTTTTGATCCGAAGTGTGCGACACCAAATTCTTCTTCCTTAGTTTCCGGATTGTTCTTTACCATCTCGCACGTTAAGGACATGCTTACGTTCCTCGGTCCTGTTTCGGAATTTATAAGCGCTTCAACCTCGTCCTTTGTGATATCAAGGAATTAGATCGGGTCGTACGATCCGTTAGGATTGATAATATACTTCCTTACCTTCCCTTTTATACCATGCTTAGTTAGGACGGGTTTTAGGTCCTCTTCCGGATTGGCGTCGTACCACTCTTCATCCTCATCACTAAAGTTCTCCCTTGCGTCATACCACCGGTCTTCTTCTTTCTCCTCTTTACCACCGTACAGTTTTACAACCTTCTTCCTCATGGTGTTAAAAGCGTCGGACACGCCTTTCCTGATGGATGATGGTACGTGGGTGGTTAGCCAGTTGTACCACTCCCTTAGAGTTCTGGAGATTCCAGACCCGGACTTGAATTTAACTCCTGTCGTTTGCATTGTTTATTATATATAAAAAAAAAATTTCAAAATTTTTTTTATGAATGATTATTCAACCGGAAGTGACGTCAAAGGTCACGTGATCCAAAACATACGTAATGGAAGACTTATCGAAGACTTCCCAAAACGGGGGTGCGCATGCGTGGTGGTGGTTTTTGGGTAGGTTTTGGGTGGGGTTAGGGGAGGCTTTGGGTAGGCTTTGGGTAGACTTAGGAGAGGCTCAGGGAAGACTTATGGAAGACTACCCCAAGCGTGGGGGCGGCGGGGGCTGGCGGGAGGCGTGGAGGGCGTGGTGGTCACGTGATCCAATAACCCGGAAGTGACGTCATAGTGGTAAACCGGAAGTGACGTCACCTGGGGTGAGGGAGGGGGGGTGTAAATCCACTATAATTTGTATAACATGAAGTATTAGCCTACTGAGCCAGAAGCGGCGTTCTGCATCTACTACGGTTAACGATTCCATACTTGATAGAACTGACTCCTTCAAATATTTAGGAGTTACAATTCATCAAAACTTAACCTGGTCAGAACATATCAACAACATCAGCAAGAAGTTTAATCAACGCCTTGGTCTCATTCGCCGCATAAAATTCTTACTCCCTATTCAAGGCAGACTCGCCCTCTACAACAGCCTAGTCCTCCCTCTATTGGACTACAGTGATATCGTGTGGGGAGATGAAAACAACTCCACTCTAATGAACCACCTTCAAGTTATGCAACATAACGCTGCGAGACTTATCCTTGATCTTCCTCGCCATTCCTCCGCTACCGAAGTCCTTGAAACTCTAGAGTGAAAACCCCTTTACCTTCGTCGAAAATACCACCGTTGTATCTCCGTCTTTAAATGTCTTAGCCATCTAGTCGACTTTGATTTTAACCTTACCATAATCTCCCGTTTACATAGCCATAAAACACGCCAGAATAACAATTACTACCTTGAACTGAAACAATCTACTAATCTTAATCTCTTTAAATCCAAACTAAAACAATTTATCTAATTAAGTTGAACAATCCACCTAATTAAGTTGAGTTTTTTCTAACTATGAAGTATAATTATATATAATCCACTTGTAAATATTTTATAGTTTTTAAATAAGCATAGACGTATAGTTTACGAATACCATGTATAACATAGATATATATATATATTACAGGACCTCCCTGAAAAACACTTCGGTGAGTGGAGCTTCCTGAATAAATATTATTATTATAAGGTTGTTATTGTAAATTTCTTTGTATTGTTTTTTGAGGCGATTCGTAGTCGATTCTCCTTTTACCACTGTAACACAAATAAAATCACTTTAAAACAAATTTGTGTTGGTTATACTGCTGATGAATGGTCTCACTGAGCGGGAGCCCGAAGTATCAGAACAGTAAAAGGAGATATAATAAGCGTAAAGATCGCTGCAACGTCGAAAGCGAACCGTATTGATATGGTAAACAACGGCCTTGTGAAAGACAGCATCGCATTCGTATTATGGACACTAATGCTACAAATTGCATTGGAAACACAGTGGTCGATCTAGTTGACGAATGAACCTTAGATAAACCGACTAATATCGAACAAAACGGGAGAAATGGACAACATACGGCATCTGAACAAGTTTTCGAGGAAAATATGAACAGTTCGCATATAGAAGCCCAAACAGACAATATCGACGACAACGCTCAAAGTCCCAACGAAGGAAATACAAAAAAATGCAGACATGGCTGTCTTATAACAAGGCCAAAAAGACAAACAAACCCTACGCTCAAATCTGTCCAAAATCGGGTGCAAACCGAAGAATTTAAAACAACAAAATTATGGGATAAAGTGCAAAGTGCTATAACAACATTACAAACAACGCCAGACTCAATACCACAAATACGGTTTGCAATAACAAAGGTACGTGCAGCATTTCATGATTACCATATGTCTATAGTCTCGTATATAGATTATCTTGTACGTGTGGGCACGCTAGAATGTATTGAAGAGCGAGAAAAAAAAAGAACACATTCTTGACTATCATAAATATTATGCTGACACCGTGGTCACGGTTTAATAAATTCTTCACTTCTATAGGTCCCAAATTAGCAAATAACATTGCTGACAATGGCTGTAGTCCTGATCCTTTGTCATATATAGACCAAGTCACAAATGTATTTCACTTTCATAGCATATCAAGCTATGAGCTGAAAAGAGAAATACAAAATATGCAAATAGAAAAATCTACAGGTCTAGATAAGATCTCAACTAAGCTAATAAAACAGGCAGGCGATACAATAACTGAATCACTCCTAGAAGTGTTTAATCTATCTCTTAGGACAGTAATATTTCCAGATGATTGGAAATTTGCCAAAGTGACTCCAATATATAAGTCAGAAAACACAACCTTATGTGAAAACTATAGACCGATATCAGTCATTTCGAATATCGCCAAAATATTTGAGAAATTAGTCTGTAGACAACTAAATGCCTTCCTGGATAACAACAATATAATTGTAAAAAATCAATCAGGTTTCCGTCGCATTCACTCAACCGAAACCTCGTTACTACAATCTACTGAAATGTGGTGGAAATTAATGGAACAGGGTCAAATAAATGGGGTTATTTTCTTAGACCTGAAAAAAGCATTTGATACGATTGCTCACTAGATTCTATTGTCAAAACTACAAGCTTATGGGATACGCGACCACACGCTCAAATGGTTCCAATCGTATTTAGATCAAAGAAAGCAAATTTGCATGCTAAATAACTGTAAATCTGATATTGAAACAATTCGTTGTGGAGTACCTCAGGGTTCAAATCTTGGACCTCTATTATTTCTCATTTACATAAACGACCTCCCAAACTGCCTAGAAACAACACACTCTAATTTATTTGCTGATGACACAATTTTATCATGTCAAGGGCATTTATCCATAGATATTGAATACAAACTTAACAATGATGTAGTAAATGCTCAAAAATGGTTATCAGCGAATAAACTAACATTAAACAACGAAAAAACCAAATATATGATTATTGGATCTCGGCAACGATTGAAAAACTTAGATCACGTGCCAAAAATCAGTATAAACGGACATCAAATTGAACGAGTTATTAAAAGGAAGCTTTGGATATAGTTATAGACGATAGAGGGCCTGTACCGGGTTTCGAAATCCCGCCATCTCGACCGATTTTCACTTCAAATCCCGTTATCCCGCCATGCCTCATCCCAATTTCCCGCTCCCGACTTTTTTTCTAACACTGTTCAACGTATTATGATTTAAAAGAACATTGTAACGACATAAAACTAGAATACAATACAACAAAGCCAAAATAACTCTAAATCGCGACTCTTATGAAAGCAACAATCATACATGTCAATGGGGGATTGATGTGGGACAAATGTTCGATATCATCCTTGGAAACAGTAAATTTCGAGCACACAGACAAATGAAAACAGATCAGCTAACGTACAGCTACAAGTTTTGTTGATTTATCCCGCTAATCGTGGTTTATTTCCCGCATATCGCCATGGTATTTTTATTAATCCCACTTCCCGCGATGGAAAATAATCCCGCTTCCCGCCAATATTTCTCTTAAAATCCCGAATCCCACTTGAATTTTAGACGCATCCCGCCATTCCGCAAAACTGGTACAGGCCCCTCACGATAGACCTAGCTGGAATAGGCAAAATGAAGAACAATGCAACAAGATATCAAAAAATATTAATCTTTTAAGAAAAGCCAAAGATTGTGTTGGCCTAGAGACGCTCAAAATTATGTATAACGCATTAGTCACGCCTCATTTTAACTGCTGTTCAACTGTTTGGCAAGATAACAACCAAACACACTTAGGCAAATTATACAAGCTTCAGAAACTAGCAGCAAGAATAATAACAAATTCGGTCTATACTATAAGATCTTCGGACATTTTTCAAAAACTTAGCTGGAAACCTCTTGACTTAATTTTGAAAAAGCGAGATCTCCTTATGACATTTAAAGCGATTAAAGCATGCTTCCAGAATACGTAACACAACTATTTCACACTTGTGAAAATAATGGTTACGTACTGCGCAGTAGTAATTTAAAGCTGTCTCAATTAACCTAAACCAAAAACGAGTTTCTTGAAAAATAGCTTTTCGTACAGAGGAGCAGCGTATTGGAACAACATCCCAATAAACTTGTTGAAAACCCTAAGAGAATCAACAAGTTTAAAATCTGTCCATCATCTATTAAGTAATTACATCTTGTAAATAAGTAAATAAATATATTTTGTAAATAAGTATAATTTAGTAAATTAGTTCCTTCTTCTATAATGCATTTATTTTCCGCACGTCCCTTTGAATATCACCTATGTGAAAGGTTACCGTGTTTAAAGATCATTAATAATAATAACGAAAGGGGGAACTAACCGCTGAAATGGGTTCTGCTCGCTTAAGTTCTCGCGTGTCTTCTCCCGCATCTTCAGCCTCGTCGGCCGCATTAGGTGCGCAAGCAAGAGGGGATGCTGCAGCAGCTATAACGAAAGCAGAATTGCAAAAGAAACGAAATGAAATTGAGTCTCAAATAGCCTTACAAATACAAGACAGGATCCGGAATTATCATTGTCGCGCCAAAAAATAAACGAAAAAGCCCGGTTAGAACAATTGCGTCTAGAAGAAGAAGCGGCAGTTGCCGTCGCGAAAGTCACTGCCTTAGAGAATGAACTAGGAATATCTGACCCTCAAGAATTAGATCTGCCTGAAGAAAACGTTGACCAAAAAGTAAATAATTACCTTGGAAACCAGTGCGAATTTACACCAGATAATATCGATATTGCCCAACTTTCCCAACAACAACATCCCGCTACCCAACCTTTCCAACAACAACATCCCCATACCCAACCTTTCGAACAAGAACATCCCTCTGCCCAACCTTTCCAACAACAACATCCCGCTGCCCAACCTTTCCAACAACATACCGCTGCCCAACCTTTCCAACAACAACATACCGCTGCCCAATCTTCCCAACCCTTAGATCCTACGACAAGTGCGTTCCACCCTACCACTTGGACCAGTCCCCCCTCGGAGCCAAGTCAAGATACTATGAAGTCCTACATCGATTTTATGGCGCGCCGGGAGTTAATAGCGAACAAAATAGAAAAGTTTGATGACCAACCAGGGAACTATCACGTCTGGAAGGAATCTTTCCAGAATATGATTAGACATGACAACATTACACCAAGCGAGTAACTTTCGTTAATAACCGAGCACACCACCAAGAACTCTAAAAAACGTGTTCAGCAGTTGCGGAGTGCATATATTAAAAATCCAGCAAAGGGTGTAATAGAAGTATGGAAGAAACTTGACGAAAGTTTCGGAACCAGTATTGTTATAACTAAAGCATATCTTGATAAGTTCACGGATTTTCCGAATATTGGCTATAAAGACGCAAGAAAGTTACAAGAGCTAGGTGATCTCTTGCTAGAGTTACAATGTGCCAAAAGTGACGGTAGTTTACCAGGTCTTAGAATCCTCGACGAAGCCATGTGCATTAAACCCATAATAGCCATGTTACCTGGGGAAGTACAAGGGCGATGACAACGCCATGCCTTTCATTATAAGACCGACCACGGAGTAGAGTACCCTCCCATTGAAGAATTTTCGAAATTCGTGCAAAACCTTGCGCTTGAGAGAAATGACCCAAATTTGAACTTTTGATGTTCTCGAAAGGGAAAATCATAAGTCTAGGAATTCAGGTTCGAGGCAAAGACAAACATACAGAACCGAAATCGCCGACGAAGAAGAAAGTCGCAGAAAGAATCTAACCCGCGATCCCATCAGATGGTGTGAAAAACCGCACCCCTTAGCCAAGTGCAGAGCTTTCCGAGGCAAATCACTGGAAGACAGAAAATACCTGCTGAGGAAGAACCGAATATGCTTTCGTTGTGTGGCCTCAACAACCCATGTAGCAAAGGATTGTCGCAGTACCGTAAAGTGCTTGGAGTGTCAAAGTGACAAATATCTAACAATCATGCATGCAGGAAAGCCACCGGAGCCAAAGGAATCCGAAGTAAAAGATCCGAACGTTGACAACCGACAAAGTCGAGACCCATCAATTCACGGCGGGGAGAACGAAGCCACAGCGAAGTGTACTGAGCTCTGTGGCAACGAACACCGTTGGCGATCCTGCTCAAAAATATGCCTGGCCAACATTTATGCCAAGACTCATCCAGAGAAGAAGAACAAAGTTTTCTTCGTTTTCGACGTACAAAGCAATTGTACCCTCGCCAAACCAAAACTATTTGACTTGTTAAGCATAGATGGCGAAGCCACTTCGTACACTCTAAAAACATGCGCGGGTAAGTCCAAACTAGAAGGACGGTGCGCCAAGAACCTAGTGATCGAATCGTTGGAGGGGCGAAAAACCCACAAGCTTCCACCAGTAATAGAGTGTGACGCCATTCCAGATAGTACAGAAGAGATTCCTACGCCTGCTGTTGGCAGGGCACGCCCTCATATCAGAGAAACTGCTGACAAGATTCCATAAATTGATCCTGAAGCGGACATTTTGCTGTTGGTAGGGAGAAATGTGCCTCAGCTTCACAAGGTCTACGAGTCGAGAAACGGGAAAGGTGCCTCCCCATGGGCACAGCGCGATCCTGGGCAAAATATGTCTGGACGGCGCTCACCAACCTGCTGATGTCTAATCGTATAAAACACATACATTACCAAATGGACGGCCTTCGATTTTAGAACCTTGCCCTAACGCCTTGATTGTGAAACAACCTCCCGAGTACGACTCCAACTTCAAAGCAAAAGAGACGTTTAGTAATGGATACTTTGATGACAGACTCGCAAAGAACGTTTTCGTACGCACTGAAAACGACGATAAGCCAGGAATGTCCGTGGAGGACAGGGAGTTTGTCGAAATAATCGAAAGCAATTTGGAAAAGAACGACGCTGGAAATTGGAACGCACCGCTGCCGTTCCGTCGCGAAGTGATAACCTTGCCCGAAAGCCGCGGAGAGGCGTATAAGAGACTTAAATCTACAAGGAAAACGCTGGACCGAAATCCGATAATGAAACAACACTACATTGCATTCATGAAGAACCTGTTTGACAAAGGACACGCCGAACCAGTGCCGCCACAAAACCCAACGTTGTTGAAACCGTGTTGGAACCTGCCACACTTTGGGATATACCATCCGCAGAAACCTGATAAGATCCGTGTGGTGTTCGATTCCGCTGCCGAGAATGGTGGTATATCCCTGAATAAGTTGCTTTTATCCGGTCCTGACCTTGCGAACAGTCTCCTCGGAGTTTTGTTGCGCTTCCGAAAGTATTCTACTGCTTCATGGCGGACATAGAACAGATGTTTCACTCCTTTGTTGTCCCTGAGGACCACAGGGGCTTCTTATGGTTTCTCTGGTACGGCAATAATGATCCAGATGGGACGATAGTTGAGTACAGAATGAAGGTACATATATTTGGAAATACCTCTTCGCCAGCAATTGCCACCTTTAGTCTACGTAAGACAGCAGAGGTCGAAGAGCCGAAGTTTGGTTCTGATGCGAGGGAATTCGTCGACAACGATTTTTATGTGGACGATGGTTTGAAATCCACGCTAAATAGCCGACAAGCTATCGACCTATTGCAACGCACTCAAGCATTGGAAATCTACGTTTGCCCAAGATATCGTCCAATGATCCGAAATGAACGGACGCGTTTTCTCCGGACGACAGAGCTGCAGACCTTCGTGATAAAGAAACCGAGTTATCAAACGCTTTTGTCAGTGAAGGAAATGGCGACAGGGAGGGAGACGGCGTAAATACAGCCTCGACCGAAAACAGTCATATCGAAATAAATTCACATGAGACATCGAACTACAACAATGTACTCGACAGTATACGAGACCTTGAACTGTGTTTTGTAAACAAATTCGATGAGCTTTTGCAGGAAATTCGACAGTTCAAAACAACAGAAGAAACTATCAGTGAAGACCGAAATTCCTTAATTAAAGAAAATGGCAAACTGAAGCAAGAAATCGACATACTATCGGACCAAGTCAATAACTATAAGTGTATTGCATCGGACTTAAACACGAAAGTTAAACAACTAGAAGATGAACAGAAAAGTTTAATAACAGCAATCAAAATTGTACAAAATGATTGCAATACAAATAAACAAAGTACATGGTCATGGAATGTTGTTAAAAATCGTAAGCCAAATCAGAATGAAAGCACACAACGTGGACAAAACTCTGGGGAAAATAGTCACAATGGACTAGCCAAGACAGATAATCAATATTCTGTTTTAGTTGATGAAAGTGACGACGAGATTAACATATTATCTCAAAGTCGATTACCTAAGAATAGAAATCAATCTGAACCACCCAGGCACACCATCAGGTCCAATGAAGACAAAAGACGTAACTATTCTGCGCCTAGAAAACAACAAGCAGACAACGACCGAAATAACAACAACAACGAGCGAGCCCAAGATTCTCGCACTCCGCGCGTAGGACAATCAAGAGTTGCTATTTTGGGCGATTCTATGCTTAAACAAATAAACGCGAGACGAATTCAACAAGGAATGAAGCATAAAATTGATGTAAAAACATTTCCTGGTGCGGGAATCAAAGAAATGAATCACTATGTAAAACCAACGCTACTCACGGCACCAAATAAGCTTATTTTACACGTCGGAACCAATGATCTACAAAGAATGACGCCAGATGAATTGTTGACACATGTACAAAAACTTGGAGAGAGCATTACTCGAGAAAACGGGAATATTGAATTAGTTTTATCAGAAATCATAACAAGAAATGACGATAAAACATTGGCTGATAAGGTAAACGAATATAACAAGGGATTAGCCCAACTATGTACAGAACGAAATTGGTGTCTTATCAGACACAATAATATTGACGTAAACCATTTAAATAACTACGGACTGCACTTAAATAAGCAGGGTACATCAGTCTTAGCAAAAAACATAAAGCAATTTCTTAATAGGAATTGACTAGGTAACGACAATAATAATGACATAAGACACAGCGATAATAATATAGTCGACAAAGATAATTCCGATAGTCCAGCACGCTGCACCTCGAAAAGCCCAAAAATTCCTTTCGAAGTTAATAAGTCTTATCCAAAACTAAAGGGTTTTAAAATTGGCCACTTAAACACTACTAGTTTGCCGAAACACATGGATGAGCTTAAATTATTCATGAAGGAAATATCATTCGACATTCTTTGCATAAACAAAACTAGATTAGACAATACAATTAACGACAATATTATTAAGATACCAGGTTATGATATTAAGACGAGACCGAGATCGAAATGGTGGCGGTGTAGCAATTTATATAAGAAGTATCATTAGTTATAAAAACCATATCGAATTCATTCCAGACAACTTAGAATCTATTTGTCTTGAAATTCAAAAACCTAAGTCAAAACCACTTTTAATTGTTACATGGTATCGTCCACCAAATTCTAACACTAGCATATTAAACGACTTCGAAACGTTACTGCGAAAACTAGATGATACAAATATTGATATTATTATCACTGGCGACGTAAATTGCGATATGATGGCAAACAGTCCCACTCATCATACAAAAAGGTTATCCGATCTGATAAATGAGTTTCAGCTAGAGCAACACATTACAAGTCCGACTAGAATAACGACAACATCTAAAACATTAATTGACATAATAATGACTAAAGCAAGCGATACCAAAATTATAGACTCTGGAGTGATACATTTAGGACTGAGTGATCACAGTTTAGTGTACATTTGCCGCAAAGTAGTAATACCTAGGGCTGAACCAAAAATTGTAGAAACAAGGCAGTTTAAATACTTTAATTCATCTGCATTTCAATACGACTTAAAAATGGCATTTCAAAGACACAACAACCTCTATAATTATGCCGACCCAAATCATGCGTGGGAGGTATGGAAAACTATTTTTCTTGATATTGCAAATATGCATGCTCCACTTCGGATTCGGAAAGTCAAAAGTGAGCACTGTCCTTGGATGACAAACGAAATAAAAAACCTTGCGCATCATAAATTCTACTTGAAACAAAAAGCGGTCAAATTTAACTCTTCAAATTACCACGAAGCTTATAAACGTTGTAGAAATGAACTTAACAAAAGAATCAAAGCAATTAAGGTTCATTTTTACAACACTAAACTACAAAACAGTAAAAATAGTAAAGAAGGTTGGAATACATTAAATAATCAGCTTAATAGGAAATCCAAAACCACAATTGTTAATGATCGAACTTAGCGTAGACCATGGAAAAAATGTAACACAAGATAAATCCATAGTCGACGAGTTTAATAAATTCTTCACTTCTATAGGTCCCAAATTAGGAAATAACATTGCTGACAATGGCTGTAGTCCTGATCCTTTGTCATATATAAACCAAGTCACAAATGTGTTTCACTTTCATAGCATATCAAGCTATGAGCTGAAAAGAGAAATACAAAATATGCAAATGGCAAAATCTACAGGTCTAGATAAGATCTCAACTAAGCTAATAAAACAGGCAGGCGATACAATAACTGAATCACTTCTAGAAGTGTTTAACCGATCTCTTAGGACAGGAATATTTCCAGATGATTGGAAATTTGCCAAAGTGACTCCAATATATAAGTCAGAAAACAAAACCTTATGTGAAAACTATAGACCGATATCAGTCATTTCGAATATCGCCAAAATATTTGAGAAATTAGTCTGTAGACAACTAAATGCCTTCCTGGATAACAACAACATAATTGTAAAAAATCAATCAGGTTTCCGTCGCAATCACTCAACCGAAACCTCGTTACTACAATCTACTGAAATGTGGTTGAAATCAATGGACCAGGGTCAAATAAATGGGGTTATTTTCTTAGACCTGAAAAACGCATTTGATACGATTGATCACCAGATTCTATTGTCAAAACTACAAGCTTATGGGATACGCGACCACACGCTCAAATGGTTCCAATCGTATTTAGATCAAAGAAAGCAAATTTGCATGCTAAATAACTGTAAATCTGATATTGAAACAATTTGTTGTGGAGTACCTCAGGGTTCAAATCTTGGACCTCTATTATTTCTCATTTACATAAACGACCTCCCAAACTGCCTAGAAACAACACATTCTAATTGATTTGCTGATGACACAATTTTATCATGTCAAGGGCATTTATCCATAGGTATTGAATACAAACTTAACAAAGACCTAGTAAATGCTCAAAAATGGTTATCAGCGAATAAACTAACATTAAACAACGAAAAAAACAAATATATGATTATTGGATCTCGGCAACGATTGAAAAACTTAGATCACGTGCCAAAAATCAGTATAAACGGACATCAAATTGAACGAGTTTATAAAAAGGAAGCTTTGGGTATAGTTATAGACGATAGACTTAGCTGGAATAGGCAAAATGAAGAACAATGCAACAAGATATCAAAAAATATTAATCTTTTAAGAAAAGCCAAAGATTTTGTTGGCCTAGATACGCTCAAAATTATGTATAACGCAGCATTAGTCGCGCCTCATTTTAACTACTGTTCAACTGTTTGGCAAAATAACAACCAA